GAAAGTTGAGGGACAAACAAGACATCAATACCTGTTATTTTTATTAATATTATTTAAACAGGAGGGGAGGAACGACTTGGTCTTCAGCTAAAGAGACAAAAAATATTGCAAGAACAATACAATTTGCTCTATTAAAAAAGAGTCAAACAATTGGTTTATTTGAGGGGCTCACCTTAAAAACATGACATATATAATCACAAATAATTAGGTCGATTTTTGCGCCAAGTTACAGCTGCCTTTTTTCAACATTTCTACTTCCCTTGGAGACTGTTTAGCAAGGTGACAGGCACCCCCATCCCTGGTTGCTTCAAGCTACCTAAGAATGAATCTATCCAGGTGTTAATACCACAGAATGAAAAGTAAACTTGAAATAAAACAGTATTGTTAGCTTTGTAGCTACTTAAAACACAGGTTTTGTATATATAAACAAAAGAATAAAACTTGTGTATTATGCATTTTTCCCTCTCACGTTTCTAGAAATCCTTTTAGACAGAGATTTGTAAGTATCGCATCCTGACTTTTCGTTAATCCCAGTATTCTTTAAATGTACACAGCCACGGGAGTCTCCCCTTATCCGTGGTTTCACTTTCCATGGTTTCAGTTACCTACAGTCAACTGGGGTCAGAACATATTACATGGAAAATTCCAGAAATAAACAATTCATAAGTTTTAAATTGTGGGCCATTCTGAGTAACTTGATGAAATCTCACACTGTCCTGTGTAGGACAATGAATCATCACTTTTCCAGCATATCCCGGCCGTTAGTCACTTAGTAGCCATCTTGCTGATCAGATCAATTGTTGCAGTATCACACTGCTTGTGTTAAATAACGCTTATCCTATTAATAATGGCCTCGAAGCACAAGAGGAGTGATGCTGGCAATTCGGATACACCAAAGAGAAGCGGTAAAGTGTTTCATTTAAGTAAAAAGGTGAAAGTTCTCAATAACGAAAGAAAAAAAATCATACCATTAAGCTCTACAGTAAGAAGGAATCTTCTATCCATGAAATTGTGAAGAAGGAAAAAGAAATTCGTGCTAATTTTGCTGCTGCAACTCAAACCACAAAAGTTAGGGCCACAGTGCATGATAAATGCTTAATTAAGATAGAAAAGGTGGGCTTCCCTGGTGGCGCAGTGGTTGAGAGTCCACGTGCCGATGCAGGGGACGCGGGTTCGTGCCCCGGTCTGGGTAGATCCTACATGCTGCGGAGTGGCTGGGCCCGTGAGCCATGGCCGCTGAGCCTGCGCGTCCGGAGCCTGTGCTCCACAACGGGAGAGGCCACAACAGTGAGAGGCCCGCGTACCGCAAAAAAAAAAAAAAAAATACGGCCGGGGCAGAGAGATCTGGCACATAACATCTAATCGTTCCCACGGAGGAAGATGTCCAGTGGGAAGGGCCTGGGAAGGGCCAGGCCTGGGCTCAGCCAGGATGCAGGCATCCCAGGATGTGTGCCCAGCGTCTGTTCCCATTGGTCAGTGCGTAGGCAACAAGGGTAGTGCAGGGTTTCAAACATGGCCCCTGGTTTTGGCTGAGTGGAGGGAGAACACTCCTGCAGAGAGCATCCTTCATGGTCAGTGATTCTGACATACGAGGCTCCTATACATACTAATTAAACCACCTGTTGCTGCCCATCATCCTTTACAAAAAGATATTTTTCCCTGTGTTCTGCGGGACAACGTCTCCTTTGTCCATCACCCGAAGTCATTAACATAATCCCTAGTAGCTGCTTTTAGTCTTCAGCTCTGGGCAGATGGAACTGAGAACTATTTTCTCACCTGCACCAAAGCAAACTGTCAAGAGGTGCTAGACCCAATCTCCAGGACCCCACACCACAGACCCACACCCCGCTGATGAACGCATGGAGATACGCATTCAGGAACCGCACAGAGGATGGAGGAGACCGCACTGCGGACTTCAAGCTCGTGGGTGTAAGCGCTCCTGGATATGCCCCGGGAGTGATTTTAAACATTTCGATGTGCTTCTGCTCTCTTTGCTCTCTCGCATGCCAAACCTCTGTCCTGGATGGCCTGAGACAGCTACCTCCTGGAGGGAAGGGCAGACTTAGACTTTGTTCCAAGGACACGGAGAGAGATCAAAGGCTTTTGACATTTGCAATTGGATTCCGCAGCAGCACAGCACCCTTGCCAGCCAGGCTGCCATCCTGTGAAAGGATTTCCAGATTTTCCTTGTCCTCGAGCATATTAGCAACGGAGCTCCATGACCTAGGAGAAGCAGAGGAGAGCCTGCTGCCTTTCCTGCCCCAGAGTCGGGGCAGGAAGGGGAGGAGGAGGGAAGTCTTGCCCAGTATGTCTCCTGGAATCCTTCCTTGTGTGTGGCTGGGCTGCAGGCTGCATCCGACATGCCCCCACCCATCTTAGGCCAAGGGGAGGGGAAGGCGAGCTGAGGGGAAAAGGGTTTTCTAAAGAGCCAGTTTGTCAGATCACAGGAGCTTCTAAGAGGAAGGGGCTCGGCCCAGCCCCTGGTCTCCCTTTCCTTAACCACTCCTCCACGGCGGACTTGAGTTGTGACCACAGCACTCCCTCCCCTTCCCTCTTCTGCATGCATGCAAGTGTTTTTCTAGGGCAGTGATTCTCAACTGGGGAAAATTTTGCACCCGTGGCAATCGCAACTTGGTGGGTGGGTTGGGCAAAGGGCTACTACCAGCACTTTATGGGCAGGGACCAGGGATAGTGCCAAATATCCTACAGGGCACAGGACAGCCTTTCATGACGAAGAATTATCTGGCCCAAATGTCCACAGCGCTGAGCTTAGAAACCCTACTCTTGGTATATACTCTGGGTATGGCTCTGTGTGCCAGTTTAAAATTTGATAAATGCTTCTGAATTGTCCGCCAAACCTCCAGGGTGTCTATAACAATCCACTCCCACAACATGTAAGGCTTAACTTCTGCCAAAATCGAGGATACACATTTCTGAATTCTGAAATCTGCCCTTCCCAACGTTGGGCGTCTCCTCTTCTGTAAATTGCTCATTCCTGGCATTCGCCCATTTTTCTTTTCTTAGGGAGTTCTAGGAGTTCTCTATGTATTCTGCACTCTAGTGCTTTGTATCTAGTCTTGATATTTCCACCCTTGCTTTTTTAGCATCTTGTCACACAGAAAATGCTGAATTTGAGAAAGTTAATTGTCTCACACTGTCTTTTGCTTTCTTTGTCTTGTTTAAGGTGTTTTCTATCCCAAGATCATGAACATATTCCCCTGTGCTTTCTTCAGTAATTTTACGGATTCATTTTTAAGGTTAGGACTTTAATCTGTTGGTGATCTCTTCTCGTGACGGTGTGAGGCAGCGAATTCCCTCATCTTGCCATCACCAAATTCCTGCCCTGCCCTGCATCCACACCGCCCTCTTCCACCCTCTGCTTCCAAGGGCAAGACCCGTCAGGGCCCCGGACTCTGCCTCACCCCTCCCCGCTCAAGGACTGTTGCCTCTTCACCCAGGACATGCAGGAACATCACCGCTTGTGAAAGCTCACGCCTGCTACTGGATATCCTGCTGCACCTACCACAGTCTTTGCCTTTTCATAGCCCAGCCTCACGAAGAGCCCACCCTCCATTCCCTTACCCTCTGCCGACGTCCTGCTGCTGAAATGGGCCAATCCCAACTTCCTTCCCTGCTTGGAAAAACACTAAAGGGATAACTACAGTTCTACCTTCAGTGTCAGCTTCCGCGTTTCTACACTAGGAACCAGTTTAAGCTAAGCTCCGATTCCGCACAAAAGCTGAAGAACGAGCAATGACGTTTAATTACCCAGCACTGGGAGGCAACCCTCCAGGACCAGCATCACTTCCTGGGACTGATGGGGCGGGAGAACCACAGGCCAAATCCGTCGCTCCACATGCCCCTTGTGCAGATGGGCTAACTGAGGCTCAGGAGCTAACAGCCTGCCCAGCACTTGATCTACTCCCGGCCAAAGTGTCAGCAAAAGTGACATCCAGGGCGCATCTGAGTCTCAAGTCCAGACCTGTCACTCTTCAAGCCACTCCCTGCCTGAGGCCAAGCAGAGCCGAGGGCAAGTTTCCAATTTTAGGCTGCACTGGAGGCTCGGGGCTCTGGCTGGGCACTGGGTCTGGTGGGCATGGAGGGGAGGTGTTTGGGGGAGTGGCACCTGGAAGATTGGCATGAGGGATACAAAGGGGGAAGAGAAGCTATGGCAGGTCACCCTGAGCACAGACGGAGGGAGATGGGAAATGCAGAGTGGACAGGGGGCCCGCTGCCTCTGCCCCCCCCAAGGAGGCCCTGGTAGGTGTGCAAACCAAAGAGCAAGTACATAAGGATCACAGGGCCAGCAGGGCCTGGGAGGAGACAAAAGGTGACAGTCTGGGAACCTCAGAAGAGCCGGGCGGTGGCCTGTCAGAACAGGACCAGGGGTAGGAGGGCAAAAGCCCCACTCTGGGCCCTCAGTGCAGTTCGAGCTGCTGCCAGTCTCAGGAAGAAGGCTCTGTGGGTCGACGCAGGGTCCCTGAAGGCCACTGCCATCGACTGGACTTGTGGCGCCCCAGTGCCATGGCCGGACCTAGAGATCCCCGTTCGTTGGATCCAAGCTTGATCACGGCTATTTCCAGGCTCTGTGGTTTCAGGGAAATCATTCCAGCTCTTAGAGCCTGTTTGCTCATCTGTAACACGGGATGTTAACATGTACACCTCAGAGAATTCTTTTGAGAATTAAATGATGACCATTATTCAGTGTTTTGTGAACATACTAGGGGTCTGTCCACGGTGGAAATCACATCCACTGGGGTTGGGAGGGGGCGTAAACGGGTGGCTACGTAAGAAAAACTCAGGGAGCAGCCTGAGGGCAAGGTGGCCAGCATTGCCTTTCTGTAAAGAGGAGTGTCCTCCTTGCTAGTGTCTGCCGTCCGCATTGCGAGGCTCCAGGCCTGACATACCAGGCCCGTCAGCGGCTCCCACTTGGCAGACGTTTTAGGATCGGCTGCTCCATGGAGTTGATCTGCAGAACGGGGGAGCAGTGATCAGTGCCTCTGGGAGATGCTCTTCTATCCAAATGAAGCAGATGGGAACCCGGGTTTGTGGATTTAGGGGCCCGGGGAAGGGATCCCTCCCATCCTTTGCCCCACTTTGCACACCTACGGTCACTACTTAATGCCCATCCCCCTCACCTGGGCCACCATGCACTTTCCTGGCCATGGTCCACTATTTCCCAGAGTCTTGAATCCGTTGCTTGGTACCTTCGCCCGGGGTAGAGCTCCCACTTGGGGGGCAGCCCGAGCACGAGCAGATGGCTGGGGGACCTGGGCATCTGGGGGTGCACTGGTATCTGCCACACGTGGACTGTGACGATGATTTCATGCTGAAGGGACCAGAGAGGAGGGGGCACATCAGGGATGGTTGAGCTGCACACACACAACCAGGGTCCTGGATCCCCTGGCCCGGCTGGTGGGCTGCCCAGACCAGAGGTCGATGGGCATGCTTTTAGAATCCCACACCCAGAGCCTTGGCACCATCACTTGGGGGTTTTCCTTGGACTAGTTCTCTCCAGGCCTCCTCTGTACCATCCTCCCACTGACCTGCACCCCACTCACCCCACCACACCCTGAAAAGTTAGCCTCTGTTTCCAGCCTGTCCGCAACATTGGGCCTACACTGATTACTCTGTTGGCCCTCTGTCTTGGCTACTTCCATAGTTTTAAAAATTCTCTTTTTAAAAATAAGATATCTAAAAAAATAAATAAATAAAAATAAGATATCCATAGACCTCAGGATCTGGGAGTGATGGGTTTTCCCTTAAAAATATTTTGTAGTTTTGATCATGGCCATCACTACTTGTTGTGAACATTAAAAGAAAAAAAAAAAATCAGCCAATCCAGAAAGGTATAAAAATGAGGGAAAGTCACCAGACAACTATAACCAAAGCTCCATGTGTTTTGCAACTAAATGGGAAGTTCTTTACAGAGTTTTCTATCAGAGTATTTGTCTTTGTGCTGAACATTTTTCCGAGCTAAGAATCTAGCCCTTTATCAGTCATACATGTTGCAAGTTATTTTTCTCCGTTTGTTGTCCTAACTTTATGAGCTGGTTTTGCAAGAAGGATAGTTTTAATTATGTGGCAAAATCTCTTTCCCTTTGGATTCTGGCTTCAGATCAGGCGTCAGCAAAGTATGGACCCAATCTGGCCCACCACCTGCTTTTGTAAATAAAGCTTTATTGCAAACAAACACTACTTCCTTTGTGTGCTGTCTTTGGCTGCATTTGCACTACGAGGGCAGAGTTGAGTAGTTGCTACGGAGTCTTTACCATCTGCAAATCTGAAAATTTTTACTATCAGACTCTTTACAGAAAGTTTGCTGACCCTTGCATTCGATCATGCTCGGAAAGCCATCTCCCATCCTAAGACTGCATGTGAAAACCCAGATCTACTATTCAGAAATAATCATTTCAAATTGTGAAAACAATGCTCAGCCTCCACGTTCCCCTCCCCCACTCATGACTAAGTTATTTGAAGAATCCATTCTTTTCCCATTGAACACTTTTGTATGCTTTTTAAAAACTTCCTAAACTATTTTGTCCAGAATTTTCTGCATGCTTTATTGGGTGGAAAAGACAGTGTTCTCAACAAAAAATTTTCTGGATTACCTATTTGAAGATAGCTAGGAAATGTGTTATATTGTTTAAAATGACCGTGAATTGTTTATTTAATACCTGGATAAGTATTTACCATATTACCCTGAAGTATTTATATTTTGTCCCTCAAAGATGGGCTGTGATCCAAACCCTTAGTTTAGGGCAGCTCTTTCCAATCTGAGTGATCATCCTTATCACCTGGGGAGCTTTTAAAACATAAAGGGTCTTAGACTCCACCCAAGGCTCCTGAATCAGTTTCCAAGGTGGGATTCTAGAATGTGTTACCTCTCAAATGCTCGCCCAGGCCATTCAGATGGTGAGCTGTGTCTGTGACCTCCACAGAAGTAGATTTTTCCCATTTTGCAGGTGAGGAGCCTGAAGCCAAGGTAAATTTTATACTATTGGCCCACCTGCTGCTCTAGGTTGCAATGCTTTTGCCTGTGCTTGTCCTGTCTCCTTTCTGATCCTGGAGAACTCCTACTCATCCCGCAGAGCCCACCTGAATAGCCGCCGGATGTGTGAAGCCTTTTCAGCATGCACTAGAGGCAAGACTAGGCCCTGAGCTACCTCTCTCTCAGCCACCCCACGGAGGACTGCATCATCTCCTGTAGATAAGCTCTGCCTGTGGCCCCTCCAGGCAGGGGCTCCTGGTCAGCACGCTCAAACCCACACAGGCCGAGTTTTCCAGCGCCAGTGAGAACTGCATCCTCATTGCATAATATGCAGGGCCCCCACGGGCTAAAGTCTATGTACCACCCTTCCGCTGCCTCCCCTCATGCCCCACGACTCACTGTGCTGCCAGGGGAGCCCCTGCCCCAAGCTCTGTGGGAGGGACTGATCCGCAAGGCCACAGTCACCCAGGTCCTTCCATTCTCATCCTCGTAGATGCCAGGCCTCCGGAAACACAGGCAGCATGGGGGCGACCCAAGGGGCGGAGAAGCTTCTGCTTCCATTGCAAGGCTGTGCCCAGGGCAGGCCTCGAGGCACACAGGGAACCTCCCAGGTGTTCAGCCTCCTTAAGTGGACTGGCTCCCGAGTGGGGTGAGGCCGGTGATCCTGGGGGCGGGGCCAGTGAGCCTTGGCAGGGGCTGCAGGGACCAGCGAACCCAGGTGTGAGGGTGCGAGGGGGTTGAATAAGGGGCAGAGCCAGAGCGGGGAGAAGCCCTCTGCCTCTGGGGGCAGGCAGGGGCGGGGCCACAGAGCAGGAGTCGGAGGAACTGGGCCCACCTGCCTGGAGGTGCGCGGACCAGAGTCAGGAGCCTCAGGGGCCGGCGGATAAGAAGCTCCCCAGGTACAGAGCCCCCCCAGGCCTCTGCGCAGGGGCAGTTTGGTTCCTTAAGATCAACACTTCCCTGCTTCCGCTGATTCCTCCGCAGCCTATCGCTGGCATCCTCTGCTCTTGCCAGGCCTTATGCAAACCTCCGAGCTCCAGATTCTGAGCTGGCAGGGACTGCCAGGGCATCTTCCCGTGGCCATTCCTTCAGCAGGACCCCAATCGCGAACCCTTGGGGTAGTGAGCTCAGTGGATTCTTGCCCCTGGAGATAGCTGGCCAAGGAACCTCCTGGGCAAATCAGGCTCCCTCTCCACAGAAAATGAGCCAGTGCCCCAGGGGCATTTGCAATCGGGATCGTATAAAGTGTGAGGGAAACCAGGCCACAGGAGGGAGGGTGTGTGGCCATCTTGCACACCCTATCCTTGACCATGGGGTCCGGAGCACCCGCTTGGCCTGGTCATCTTATTAGCTCTGCTTTGCCAGGAGGCCACAGACACAAGAGGCAGGCGCATGTGGTAAGCACGCTGGGCTTCTGATGAATGCAACGTGAATGTGGTCATTTTCTTGTTGAAAACCGCAAGTGTGATTCTTCTTATTCATCTGAGAATGAGCAATGAGATGACGCTGTTCCTCTGGGCAGGTTGATGTAAGTGGCACATAGGATGCCTGCCTCTGAGGAACTCACTGTGCAGCTTCTGTAGAGGCCTGAGCTTCTTTTCACAGCAATTCCACCTCCTTCCCTGGTGTTTTTCCTTCTATCGTGGGATTGGAGTGGCCGTAGGAGACGAGGGGCATTAAGGTCTTGAATAACACGATCACATACATCTGTTACCATATTCTATTGGTTAGGAACAGGTCCTGCCCACACTCAAGGAGGGTGACAGATTATACAAGGATGTGGATATCAGGAGTCAGGGCTCAAGGGGGTTCCCCAGAGCCTGTCTGCTATAAGCACCAACCCCACTGGGTTACTCTGAGGATGAAATGAGATGGTGTATAAAGAGCAGTGCCTCTAGCACATAGTGAGCTCTCGAAAAATGCCAGGTACTAGCTATGCTCCCAGACTTGTCCCCTTCCTGAGCAAAATCCATCAGTCCACCCTTTGTAACACGAATGCAACTAGTATTTATCTCTATCACTCCATATCACAAACATGTACGGGTATTCTCAACCTCGCTCCAAGATGAGCAAGTATGTGGCTGTTTGTGGGGTGGGGGCAGAATTGGTCAATACGTGCAGAGCATCTATGCCGCATGAGGCACTGTACATGTGTTCTCTCAGTTACGTCTCCCAACAACTCCATGAGCTAGAGACTGTCATCCCCACCTCACACCACTGAAAATGAACAGAAGTGCTTCACTGATCTCCCTTCTCATGCCATGTGCTCCATCCCGGGCCCCTTGGACCCACACTGAAGGAAGATCACTGGCGGGCGATGAGAACAGAAATTTGGACCCTTGTCCTTCAGCTGGCCTTGGTCCATATCATGTTTGAGATACAGCAATGTTTTCTGGCCAAGTGTCCATCTTTGGTACCTGCAATTTGAAGGATTCACTCTCGGGGTGGGTATCACCAAAGTCTTTGGGAAGCCCTTTGATCTCTCCAGGATAGCTCCGGGCAGAGCCTTGTAAAGACAGTGTAGTCTCTAGTAGGTCTGTGTCTTTATTCCTGTCTTACCCCTAGGTTCTTCATGACATTTTTTTTTTCTTAAATTCCATATATATGTGTTAGCATACGGTATTTGTCTTTCTCTTTCTGACTTACTTCACTCTGTATGACAGACTCTAGGTCTATCCACCTCATTACAAATAGCTCAATTTCGTTTCTTTTTATGGCTGAGTAATATTCCATTGTATATATGTGCCACATCTTCTTTATCCATTCATCTGTCGATGGACACTTAGGTTGCTTCCATGACCTGGCTATTGTAAATAGAGCTGCAATGGACTGCAGCTCAATCTGCAATGAACATTGTGGTACACGTATCTTTTTTAATTATGGTTTTCTCAAGGTATATGCCCAGTAGTGCGATTACTGGGTCGTATGGTAGTTCTATTTTTAGTTTTTTAAGGAACCTCCATACTGTTCTCCATAGTGGCTGTATCAAGTTACATTCCCACCAACAGTGCAAGAGTGTTCCCTTTTCTCCACACCCTCTCCAGCATTTATTGTTTCTAGAGTTTTTGATGATGGCCATTCTGACTGGTGTGAGATGATATCTCATTGTAGTTTTGATTTGCATTTCTCTAATGATTAATGATGTTGAGCATCCTTTCATGTGTTTGTTGGCAATCTGTATATCTTCTTTGGAGAAATGTCTATTTAGGTCTTCTGCCCATTTTTGGATTGGGTTGTTTGTTTTTTTTGTTATTGAGCTGCATGAGCTGCTTATAAATTTTGGAGATTAATCCTTTGTCGGTTGCTTCATTTGCAAATATTTTCTCCAATTCTGAGGGTTGTCTTTTGGTGTTGTTTATGGTTTCCTTTGCTGTGCTTGAGGATATGGGGAGGGGGAAGGGTAAGCTGTGACAAAGTGAGAGAGTGGCATGGACATATATACACTACCAAACGTAAAATAGATAGCTAGTGGGAAGCAGCTGCATCGCAAGGGGATATCAGCTCCGTGCTTTGCGACCACCTAGAGGGGTGGGATAGGGAGGGTGGGAGGGAGGGAGATGCAAGCGGGAAGAGATATGGGAACATAGGTATATGTATAACTGATTCACTTTGTTATAAAGCAGAAACTAACACACCATTGTAAAGCAATTATACTCCAGTAAAGATGTTAAAAAAAAAAAAAGTGTAGTCATGCCTGGACCCAATGCTATCCTCCTCCAGCGGAGGGCGCCCTTCACAAACCTTAAGTCCAGGTGTCCTGGTGCTGGGGCCCTCAGCCTAAGGGGATGATTCTAGACCGCAGATGGGCACTGAGCAGGACTTGGAAGGCTGGGTCTTGGTCACCAAGATCTCTGCATATTCTGCTCATCTCCTCCCATGTACTGAGCCCAAACTTGCCAAGGCAGGCAGGACACTGGAGGCAGATAGCCTGGAAATAGCATGGCACAGATGGGGTTGTTCACCAGCATGAATAAAGACATGGAGAGGGGACATTCAGGATGTATTTGGAGGTCAGAGAATAATGAGGATTAGCCAGTGCTGAGAATGCAGGCTCGTCATAAGAGGAAGGATGAGAACATGGTGGTGGTATGTGTGGGGGGGTGGATGCTGACGCTCCATTGCAAGGATGCCAATCCAACTAGTTGATTTTGATCAAGTTGATCAGGAGCAATGACAGTGTTTGGGAAAGGAAATGGCATAAGTACACACTTGATAAACGTTTGAACTAATGATAAAACAAAAGAGTGACTCAGTAATCGGGGATTCCTAGAAATGGACTGGATGGAGATGGTTCAGGCAGTATTACAGGCAAAAACATCCAAGTTCCAGCTCTGCTTGTTTCAAACTATCAACAGTATTAAATTGGCAGGATGATAAAAGAAACTTGACGCAGCCATGGAACTGAAGAATGAGCGTTTGGGGAAGTTTTGTCTATTCCAAGGCATTGAAGATATAGTCTGTTTTCTTCTAAAGGTTTTATTGTTTTACTTTTTATATTTAGATGCAATTTATCTTTGTGTGTGATGTGAGGAGAAGATCTAGAGTATCTTTTTCCATGTTAATATCAAATTAACTTAATCCCATTTATTAAAAAGACTATCCCTTCTCTCCTGTATTGTATTATCACTTCTGTCATAAATCTGGAACATATATGTATGGGTCTGTTTCTGGAGTTTCTTTTCTATTCCATTCTTTTTTTTTTATATCCTTGTGTCAATAGCACATTGTTAACTACTATAGCCTTAAAATAGGTATGGATATCTTGTAGTATAAAGCTCCTAGCTTTATTCTCCGTCTAGATTGCCTGGATAATGTGATGGTTAATTTTATGTGTCACCTTAGACAGTGTTTTGGGATAAGAGTAACATTTAAATCGGTGAACTTTGAGTAAAGCAGATTGCTCTCCATATTGTGGGTGGGCCTCATCCAATCAGCTGAAGACCTGAATAGACTGAAAAGGCTGGTCTCCCCAGGCAAGGAGGAATTCTCCAGCAGACTGTCTTTGGACTTCATCTGTATCATTGGCTCTCCTGCCTCTCCAGGTTGTGCACCTTTAGCTCTCCTGGGTCTCCAGCCTGACAGCCCACACTGCAGATACTGGACTTGCCAACATCCATATTCATGTAAGCCATTTCCTTATGATAAATCTCTTTCTATATACATATATGTACATATACACACATGCCCTGTTGGTCCTATGTCTCTGTAGAACCCTAATTCAGCTATTCTCTAAGCTTTGCAATTCCATATGAATTTTAGAATCAGTTTATTACCATCCGTCTCCTCCAGAAAGCCTGCTAGGATTCTGATTGGGGTTGTGTTGTATCTATAGGCCTGTTTGAAGAGAACTGACATCCATACCATGTTGAACCTTACAACCTCAGGATAGTGTATGTCCCTCCCCTCCATATCTTAGGTTGTCTTTAATGTTTCTCTATTTTTATTAAACTTGTTCTTAAGTATTTGACTAATGCTATTCTTTTTTGGTTTTTTTTGCGGTACGCGGGCCTCTCACCGTTGTGGCCTCTCCCGTTGCGGAGCACAGGCTCCGGACACGCAGGCTCTCAGCAGCCATGGCTCATGGGACCAGCCGCTCCGCGGCATGTGGGATCTTCCTGGACCGGGGCACGAGCCCGTGTCCCCTGCATCAGCAGGCAGACTTTCAACCACTGCGCCACCAGGGAAGCCCTGACTAATGCTATTTTAAGTGGTGTTATTTTAAACTCTGTGTTATATTTGTTTGCTGCTGGTATAGCAAAACGCAACTGATTTATGTATATTGTCCCTACATCCAAAAATTCACTTAACTCTATTTTTTTTTGATATTTTGGGAAATTCCCAGTCATTATAGCTTCAGTTATTCCTCTCATTCTCTCTCTCTTCTTCTGTGCTTCCAATTACACTTTGCTACACCTTATAAATTGTGTACCATGCCTCCTATGCCCTGTGCTGCTTTATTTGAGGCTTAAACATTTTTCCTCTCTGAGCTTCAATTTTGATGTCTCCTATCGGCTTATTTTACAGTTCGTTATTAATCTTGTCATTTGCTGTGTCTAATCAGCTCTTAAACCAATAAGTTGATTTCTTAACTGCAAATATTATATTTATCAGGTCCAAAATGTTCATTTGATGCTTTTTTTTAATAGATTTGAAACTTCTCTGATAATCTC